CCCATTTCCCCTCACGATTCCCCCTCATGATTCCCATTCCCCCTCACAATTCCCATTTCCCCTCACAATTCCCATTTCCCCTCACGATTCCCCCTCACAATTCCCGTTCCCCCTCACAATTCCCATTTCCCTTCACGATTCCCCCTCACAATTCCCATTTCCCCTCACAATTCCCATTTCCCCTCACAATTCCCCCTCACAATTCCCCTTTCCCCTCACAATTCCCGTTTCCCCTCAGAATTCCCATTTCCCCTCACGATTCCCCCTCATGATTCCCATTCCCCCTCACAATTCCCATTTCCCCTCACAATTCCCATTCCCCCTCACAATTCCCATTCCCCCTCCCGATTCCCTCTCACCATTCCCCTTCTCCCTCCGAGGCGATCCCCGGGCCGGCCTCTCCGGGGCCTCGGCCTTCCCGAGGGGATCTCCGCGTGGGGAAAAGCCCCGGGCTGGAGGGATTTGTGTCCCAAACCTCCCCAGGCTGGCGGAAAAAAAGGCTTCCATAGGCTACACCTACGAGGACAGCACGGTGGAGGAGCTGGAGAACTCCCTGGAAAAACGAGCCGGGGACGAGGAGGACTCCGAGGAAGACTCCAACACCGACGAGGACGAAGTGATCCCGGACATCGGTAACAAAGCATCCGAGGCTTTCGGCCGGGATTCGGGGATCGTTGCCGGGCGGAATTCCAGGATTTTCCGGGCGTTTTTCCAGACGTGGAGGTGGACGTGGATGAGCTGAACCAGGAGCAAGTGGCCGACCTGAACAAGCAGGCCACCACCTACGGCATGGCCGAGGGGGATTTCGTCAGGTACGGCCCGGAAAAACCTCGGGAAGAGCCGGGATCCTGCCCCAAAACCACCCCGGGGAGGGCTCCTGCTTTTCCTTCGGAATCCCATTTTCCCTTGGGATTTTGGCTTGGGAATCCTGTTTTTCCGGGGGATTCTTTGCTGGAAATCCCATTTTTCCTGGGGATTTTGGTTCAGGAATCCCATTTTTCCTTGGGATTTTGGCTTGGGAATCCTGTTTTTCCGGGGGATTCTTTGCTGGAAATCCCATTTTTCCTGGGGATTTTGGTTCAGGAATCCCATTTTTCTGTGGGATTTTGGCTTGTGAATCCCACTT